GACTGGTGGCACTGACTGGCAGCACTGGTGGGTGGCACTGGTGGGTGGCACTGGTGGACAGCACTGGTGGGTGGGCACAGGTGGGTGGCACTGGTGGGCACAGGTGGGTGGCGCTGGTGGGCACAGGTGGGTGGGCACAGGTGGGTGGCACTGCTGGGCACATGTAGGTGGCACTGCTGGGCACAGGTAGGTGGCACTGCAGAGTGGCACAGGTGGGGGCACTGCTGGGCACAGGTGGGGGCACTGCTGGGCACAGGTGGGGGCACTGCTGGGCACAGGTGGGGGCACTGCTGGGAATGGGTGGGCGGGGCTAGTGGGCGCACAGCTGATTGGAACTTGCGGGGGTCACTGCTGGGCACCGATCATCAGGGCACTGATCATCAGTGCCCTGATGATCGGTGCCGATCCCCGCTCTGACAACTGCCGGTTCTCGGCAGTACTTTCCTCACGATCTGACAGCGGAGGAAAGTGCAGCCGAGAACCGGCACTTGCATTTTCCTGTGATCAGCGTGTCATTGGACACCGCTGATCACGTGGTAAAAGGCCGGTGGGATCGGCCTTTCACCACATCTCGTGATCAGCTGTGTCCGTAGGACACAGCGATCACGGAGATCGCCGGGTGCGCGCCCCCTGGGGCGCGCAGGAGAGCGCGTTCTGGGAGGACGTCATATGACGTCCACTCAGAACTGGCCGGCCGCGGTGAAGCCGTCATTCGGCTATGCGCGGTCGGCAAGTGGTTAAAGATGAATGCTTTTTGGTTGCAGTGGGTTACTGCACTTTGCACGATCTCATCGCACCTTGGCTTGATCCATTTTGACACTAATTTCAAATTTCGCGCACTAGAGACCGAACGAATAAAACCAATCTCTTACTTTGGCTGGCCATACACTATACAATTTTCTGTCCAATTTCTGCCCAATTTTCTTTAGATTTACCTTCAACTGTGTAGTGCAAGGGCCCACCCTAATTGGATACAATTGAAAGTGTTGTTTAGGTCAGGGGTGTATTAACCACAAGGCAAACAAGGCATTTGCCTAGGGCGGAATTTTTCAGGGGGGGGGGCAGCACTTCCTCTCAGAAGAAGGTACGAAAGAAGGGACACTCCCGGCATGGGGACCTGGTAGGTTCAGAGAGAGGCTGCGGGTTTCATGACGTTGTATGCACAGCCCGACTCTCCTTCCCAGGGATGTCCGGAGATGTGAAAGTGTCTTTCCCTCTGTCGCCATGGTGTATGGGGGGCAGTGGTAGTGGAAGGCTCTCTCGGGTGGGAGGCAGGGGTGTTGTTGGTCAATGACAGGCTCTCCCTGTGGGGGAGGGGCTCCGATTTTTGCGTTGCCTAGGACAGCACACAACCTAAATACACCCCTGGTTTAGGTTTGACCTCATATTATATGGTTTTGGTAAATCTAAAGCAATTTCCTAAAGAGAATTGTATAGTATATGGCCAGCCTTTAGCAGTAGCAGAGAGAAACTCTGCAACCCCAGCGGAGAAAGATATCATTAATAAATCAGTACTAGCTATTAATATCTTTCATACCCCAGTCCACAAAATGTCCTTCCTGGGATCTTCACCACCTTACTGTCTATATATAATATGAAGCATGGATTCCACACTGATCTCGCTAATTAATCTTTAATAGAGCTCCAATTGACAAGACCATTCATTTTTGCTGCTCTCCAACTGCCAACCTAAAGGCTACAATACAAGTGGGGGTCATTCACATGCTACTTCTGCAATGCTTTACAATTTTATACGTGGCATGCCAAGTTGACAGGTGGTACCATTTCGTAGATAAAATTGCTGTTTAGAGAAAAAAGCAAAAAAAAAAAAATAAAACGGGCATTTAATATTTTTTTTTTAATGCAAGCAATGTAAGAAACTGTATTTGACTTGGTAGCGGTCTCTAGCAATCTCCTATGCAAAAGCTCAAATTAAGAGGGAGAGGCAGAACTAGGATCCACTCTATAGATTAAACCCATGGTATTGTTGACTGACACGTGCAGTCTATCTCGCAAAGGGAATCGGCTGGACGCCATGCAAAAGACTGGTAGACCTGTATTTGTTGAATTGGCTTGTGTTGTCCTAGGTTGATGCATCTATAGCTCTACCTATTCCCCATTGAAGGACAGCAATTCCCATTCAAATACACACTCATACACTCAATGTCCACTTTATTAGGTACACCTTGCTAGTGCCAAGAAAATGTCCCCCACACCATTACACCATGTTGTTTACACCAGATTCTGACCCAACCATCTGAAAGTCGCTGCAATCAGTCTGCCCATTCTCTTTGACGTCAACAAGACATTTTTGTCCACACAATTGCCACTCCCTGGATATTTTCTATTTTTCGGACCATTCTGTGTAATGCCTAGAGATGGTTGTGCGTGAAAATCCCAGTAGATCAGCAGTTTTTGAAATACTCAGACCAGCCCATCTGGCACCAACAACCAAGCTACATTCAAAGTCACTTAAATCCCTTTCTTCCCCATTCTGATGCTCAGTTTGAACTTTAGCAAGTTGTCTTCACCACATCTAGATGCCTAAATGCATTGAGTTGCTGCCATGTGATTGGCTGATTAGCAATTTTTTCTATCAAGCAATTGAACAGGTGTACCTAATAAAGTGAGTGTATTTACAAGATGATTGAATGGAAGTCAGCTGTGTCCTCCTTTTCAAATTAACATTTTATCACAAATATACTTAAGGCCTGGTTCACACAAATGCGTTTTTTAGTGCTTTTTGCAGAAACGCACTACAGTCCATTTAACATGGGTTTTCTATGGGACATGTTCATAGCTATGCTTTTTGGAGCTGCTGGGGTTTTGGAAAGGGTCGGGGACTTTTTTATATGCAAAAAGCAGCATTTTTGCTACAATGGAATTCAATGGAGAAGCTGCTGAAATGCATGTAGCGCTTTGCGTTTTTTTATTCTGCTCAGCAACCAAAAAAGTATAAAAAGTATAAAAAGTAAGTACCAAAAGTATAAAAGCTGAAAAAAAACGCATTAAAAAGTGTCAAGTTGCTGGCATGTGATTGGCTGATTAGCAATTTGTGTTACCAAGCAATTGAACAGGTGTACCTAATAAAGTGGCCGGTGAGTGTACTTGCTGTACACTTACTGTAGCATGCTTCAGGCAGCAATGGTCTTCACCCCCTGGGCTTACTAGCAATGGATACGATATGGAATAGCGGTCATATGACTACTTTATAAAACATCAAAAAATTACATATTTAGAGTTTGTGTTAAATAAAATGTAACTGTTACATTATATTATCCTATAGTGCAGGGGTTTTCAAACTTCCTAAACAAAGGGGAAGTTTACTCTCCTCCAGACTTTAGGAGGGCCGGACTGTGGCCATTGGGAGTAGAAACGGCACCTACATTAGAGGGAATAAACCATGCCCCCTCTCTGGTGTCAGTGGGAGGAATGGCTCCCCATTATTGGTGTTATTGGGAGGAATTCTGCCCCATCATTGGTGTCATTGGGCCCCATTGTTGGTATCATTGTGAGGTATTGTGCCCCACAATTGGTGTCAATGGAAGGAATTGTGCCTCCTAATTGGTCTCTGTGGAGGAAACTATGCCGCATTGTTGGTATCAGTGGATTAAATAGTGCCCCACGGGCCAGGTAAAAGCAAAGGGTTTCTCTCTCCCGATCAGCGGTGTTCCCTGCAGTACACACCCCCCCCGCCCCCTAGTAAAACACTCCCCTCACACAGTTAACCCTTTCCCTGAATAATAAACTTAACCCCTTCCTCCCCAGTGCCATTAGTACAGTGTCAGTGTTTTTTTTTTTGCACTGATCACTGTATTGGTTTCACTGGGGATGTCAGTGACCCCAAGTCAGTTCCCCCCCCAGTGTCAGAATGTCTGCCGCAGTCCCGCCATAAGTCACTGATCGCCGCTATAAGTTGCTGATCGCCGCCATTTTTTAGTATAAAAAAAAAACTAAAAATCCCAGTATCTTTCCCGCCATTTGTAAACGCTATAACTTTCACGTAAACCAATTAATTTACACGTATTGGGTTTTTTTTTTTAGCAAAGACATGTCGCAGAATGCATTTTGGCAGAAATTTATGACTAAATTTGATTTTTAAATTTTTTTTTTTTACTGGACATGTTTTATAGCAAAAAGTCCAAAATATTGTTTTTTTTTTTCCTCAAAATTGGCAGGCTTTTTTTTTTTTATAGCGCAAAAAATAAAAACCGCACAGGCGATCAAATACCACCGAAAGAAAGCTTAAGTTGTGGGAAAAAAAAGGATGTAAATTTCATTTATGTACCGTTTTGCATGACCCGCGCAATTCTCCGTTAAACTAGTGCAGCGCTGTATAGCAAAAAAATGGTGTAAATTGCAGTATCTATACCATAGTTTGTAGACACTATAACTTTCACACAAAGCAATCAATATACACTTATTGGGATTTTTTTTACCAAAAACATGTAGCAGAATACATTTTGGCCTAAATTTATAACCAACTTTGAGTTTACTATATATTTTTTATAGCTAAAAATAAAAAATATCGTTTTTCTTCCAAATTTTTGGCATTTTTTTGTTTATAGCGTGAAAAATAAAAGGGCACAGGTGATTAAATACCACCGAAAGAAAGCTCTATTTGTGTGAAAAAAGGACGTAAATTTCGTTTGGGTGCAGCATTGCATGACCGCGCAATTATCAGTTGAATTAGTGCAGTGCCGAGTAGCAAAAAGAGGCCTGGTCATTAAGGGGGGTAAATCCTCTGGAGGTCAAGTGGTTAAGCACAAGTTTAAAAAAAAAACACAAAAAATACATTACGCTCTAATCTATGTTAGATGAATACTGCTTACATGTATTCTTAAATGCATCATTTAGCAGGAATGCTAATAACTAGCGCCTGCCAGAACTCCATAGCCAACGATTAACCCAGCCATCTCTAAAATTGGTTAACTGAATTAAGGTTGGTAAAAAAAAAATGTCAGATTAATAATTGTTTATTTATTTTTGCTCACATCCAGGTTTGCAGACACGTGATTGTAAAAGATGTGAAAATTACAGTTCTGGATCTGAGGTGATAGTTCCTGGCATTCTTTGTGCTGGCAGTTCTCAACAGAAACAATAAGCGGACTGTTTTCTAATTTATAATTTTTAAATGTGATGATTTCATATTTATTGCTCCTGCCCATTTTGGATTCTTGTTTATTTTGAATTAGAGTGGCCTGCGTGGTCAAAGAAGTGATACATGTACCATCTATGTTCATACATAGATCACAAGAGGCCTCTAATTAAAGATATGCTTCCATGAATAGTGTTGGTCTGTACTTAGTTTTTTCCACCTAAAATGTTATATTTTAGCATTTTTTCATGTCTTCATATGTGTTCCCGGAAATGAAAATATATACTGTGTGCAATCAAATTTACCAATGATATAGAAGAGAATGTCACAATTACACAGTCAGCCTCACCCTGTGTGGAAATTTTTCCTGCTCTGGAACAACAACAATCTAAGCACCAGTAGACCATGATCATGACTTGGGCAAGTTACTTGAGCAGTTAACCTTTTCCACACACACACTGTACGCGTTTGTAGCAGAAATATGCTCTGTTCACAGCATCCGTTCTTTCAATTATAACCTTTTTAAATAAAATTTCTGTATCACTCGCTGCTACACCCATCAAGAATGTAACAGTCTACACTGTGGTAACTTCTTCAAAAAGGCAAAAATTCTTTATCTCTGCTTAGAGCATTCAGAGGTTCAGTTTAACAATGTTTAAATTTAGTTTTAATTAAAAGAAAAGAAAAATGGTGCAGGAAATATTTACAAAAGGTGCATATGCAACAATTAAAAAAGCAATGAAATGTTCAAAATACTTAAAAGTAGAACTATAGGAATTTTTTTTTTTTTTTTTAATTCTGGATAGAGTAAGGGAGGGTTATACCACTGTCAGATTAGAGGAATTCAAATTAGAGGAATTCTTTGTAGACTCCCAGGTCAACTATAACTAGTGTTCCTTTTGGAAGATTGCCCCTCTATTATTATTATTATACAGTATTTATATAGTGCCAACAGTTTACACAGCGCTTTACAACACAAGGGCAGACAGTACAAATTACAATACAATTTAATACAGGAGGAATCAGAGGGCCCTGATCATTAGAGCTTACAATCTAAGAGGGAGGATCAAGAGATAAAAAAGGTAATAACTGTCGGGGATGGGCTGATGGAGAAAATACATGTACAGTTGTTAAGTGGAGGAAGAATAGGCCTTCTGAAGAGATGAGTCTTTAGTGAACATAAAAATATAGAGTTTAGCGCTGTGCCAGTGTTCAAACAACTACAACAAATAAAAATGAATAATTAATAAATACCTGGGAAAACCAACACAAAAGTGTAAATCCATAAATAATCACATATACAAAAACAATCACTCATAACTTACTCAAACCTGAGTGAAAAATAATAGAATAAATGCATAAAAGAATAATAATGAATAAATATTTTAACTAATTCCCCACACAAATATGAAAAGCATATAAATGAATCTGATAAATTGAGCGTGATCCTAAATGCTCAAGGCACACTGGTAAACACCTGACAGCCCCACTACCCCAAAAAGTGCTAAAGTGCAATACAATATATAACCACTACCATAAAGTGAATAATTCAATGAATGAATAAATGAATAGATACAATAAATGTTGATCCACAATATGCAAAATTAATCAATAGTGAAAGGTTCAATAATAGTCCAATCATAGAAATCCTCTGTGTTCCAAACTTTCTACGAATCGGTGAACACGAGTGACTCCAATCCAATAAGTAAGTGCACATCCACCACGTGAAATGCGCCCTCACCTTGGTAATTAACCTATATAAAACAGGTCAAAATGCGCTCTCAACTCAAATAACCAGCTTGCCGAGATTGGCCTGCCAGATGGAATAATACACCATACAATCTGCATGGTCAGGATATGGAGTGGTATCTGTCCCCTTTAAAGCTTCCACGATCCCGGGTGAGGAATAAACTCAAAAGCAGAAGAAAATACCTCACAGTGCAATACTTTATTGAATAAAAAAAAACCCTCATGTAAAAATGCACTTATTTTTTAAAAAAAATTAGTCTGCAGACTCTAATAAGCATGTCAGAATACAAAGGTAATACACATGCGGTCTGGACGGGACATTACGTCACCGGCCTCCGTTTCTAACTTCAGTGATCGTCTAAAAGTGGCTAGAGTAGGGGATAGTTCGGATAGATTGAGGTAGGAAGTTCCAGATGATGGAAGAGGCTCTGGAGAAGTCCTATAGGTGAGCATGGGAGGAGGTGACAAGGGAGCTAGAGAGCAGGAGGTCTTGGGAGGAACGAGGAGAACAATTTGGTTGGTATTTTGTGACAAGGTTAGCGATGTAGCTGGGGGCCGAGTTGTAGATGGCTTTGTAAGAAGTTGTTAGTATCTTGAATTTAATTTGTTGGGTGAGCTGAAGTCAGTGGAGGGATTGACAGAGAGGGGTTGCAAACACTGAGTGGTTGGCGAGCTGGATGCGTCTGGAGGCAGCATTCATGATGAACTGAAGAGGGGAATAGCCTATGTAAAGGTAAGTCAGTGAAGAGGGAGTTGCAATAGTCCCCTATATTACTTTTATGGGGCTAACCCAAAATTTTGGATTTTCTTCTACTTTCAATAATGGTAAACAGGACAAATAGAGAGGGTGGATCTCCTTAATGGGGGTGCAGACAGCAATAAAAATTGACACCCTCTCCACACTATCCAAAACTAAAGAAAAGGTTTTGCCTTTAGTTATAATTTCTTTTGATTTTTGGTTCACTGCAGAGTCGAATTTTCTTGCATAGTAGGTCTAGTTTGATGTTCTCAGAAGTCACTGGCCCTCAGAAAAAGTGACTCTTGGAATTGATGATAGTTTTAATGTCAAGCAAGAGCTCAGAGCAAAAAATGCAGCCATCCCTTTTACTCTAACGTCACAGACAGCGGGGCTTGACACCACCCTTCGCTCCCTCGTCACTGCCTTTGACTGTCAGCAGTGGGAACGCAAGTTGTTGGTTATGGAATATTGGACTGACTGTCTTCTTTCTCAACATCCTTTTGGTTGACGTCAAGGCAGGTGTTAACAAGACTAATGCTTTTGACAGCAGTAACTGTCTATAAATACTTTGCCACTTAGCAGCAGCTGAACTGTTTGTGCAAGTTCTACCTGCTATGATGGTCAAGTGCCTGAACTGTTCTATCTGTTCTGATGTTCACATACCTGAACTGTCTGTACAAATGAGCAATCTACCATGGTGGTCAAGTGTAGAGCCCATTATAGATTTCTGAACAGTTAAATCCATGATTCCTAGCGACCTGACCTAACACTAAAAGAAAAAATTTTTCATTAAAAGAAATATTGTTACAGGAACACCATCCATGTAACACCTGAACTCTACACTATTCTATCGAAACAAAACTGTAGACCTATAGGCCCAAATTTCAAATGTATGTGTTTCCTCTGTGTACTCTGATATCTTGTGTGTTGTTACGTTTTTGGGGTTGTATTGGATATGTGCAAAAAGAGATCATACAAATACTTATATGTGTAACATTTCATAAAAATAATGACGGATACAGATTACAAATATTAGAAATATAGCAATAATACTTTACTAAAGATGCTATTTCTGCCATGGAGTACCTCTCTGTGTGTGCAGCGAGGTACAGGTGACCAGACGCATGCATGTTCTGCATATCTTCTGGACATATCCCGTCTTTTGAACGCAGGTGCAAAATATTGTCCAAAAATTTACTGACAGGGTAATGCTGGATTTACCAACTTATTTTCTTCTGCATCACAATATATTTCTATTAAAGCCTACAAAAGGTCAGTTATTTGTCATTCACTGCATGCGGTCTGCTCATGTATTCCAGCAAACTGGAAATCTACCGCTACCCATCAATACAATGGTTTCATAGAGTGCAGGACATCAGAGACATGGAAGAATTAACATGTTCACTAAAGGGTTGGGAAGAGCAATGCAAAAAAAAAAAAAAAATTTTTTTATTGGAATGCATAAGGGGAAATAGAAGTGTTACTGTATGTATGCGTTTTTAAAATAGGAGGAATTTTTGCTATGGTTTTTTCCCATAGCCTGCATGAGTGTATGAGAGGAGGGGGAATGAGATGTTAAAGAAGTATAGTCAAAGCTATTTTGGTTATACTTCTCCTGGGGATCACAGGAGTGCAGTTCGCTCTGCACTCCTGTGAGCAGGGGCGGACTGACAACTCATGGGGCCCCCGGGCAATAGGGGATCATGGGGCCCCTGTGTCCTTGCCCTCACTCAAAAAAGCCTATAAAAAAGGTACCAGGGGCATTTCATGGGGCCCCCTACTGACCTCGGGCAGTGCCTGAGTGCTCGAATGGTCAGTCCGCCCCTGCCTGTGACCCTCTTTCAGCCGACAGTGGTATAAAAGCCTGCTATCAGCTGAGATCACAGAGCTGATCCAGGCTCTGAAAAGATCCAAACCATATGGTTGGTATTCACCCAGATGCCTGAACTGGCAGCTGGCTTAGCCTCTCATCGATACGCTGAGAGCCTGAGCCAGCCTCTCCTACCCCACAGCCCCACGCCCCAGTAAGCACTAGAGGGGCAGAGAGTCAGAGACTGACAGCCACCAGTTCTCTGCAGCCTGAAGACAAAGAACTGAACGATCAGCAGTTTGTGATCATTCAGTTTTTGGTCTTAAAATCAGCGGGGGACATATACAGCATCGGACCAATGTTGCGTTCACCTAGATGAGTATAAATTATCATTTTTCTTTTAAACCCAAACTTCTCTTTTAGAGAGACCAGCCCTGATCCATTGAAGGAGTGGTGGACAGGGGCGGACTGACAACTCATGGGCCCCCAGGCAATAGGGGATCATGGGGCCCCTGTGTCCTTGCCCAAACTCAAAAAAGCCTATGAAAAAGGTATCAGGGGCATCTCATGGGGCCCTCTACTGACCCTGGGCCCTCGGGCAGTGCCCGAGTTTTCAAATGGTCAGTTTGTCCCTGGTGGTGGATGACCCTGGTGGATGTGG